GGGGAGTCCACGCGCAGTGTGGTGGGGCGGGGGCATAAATCCCTAGTGGGAAGGGAGAGCTGGAGGGGCAGGAAGAGCCGGGGTCGGGGGCAGTGCACCCCCTTCGGGGGTGGGGGAGGTCTATGCCCCCTGGGTGTGTCATCTCAGTGGACAGGCTGAGAGTCCTCAAGGACGCTGGGCATTGGCCTGGCCCAGTCACCCAGGCCCTTGATGTCTCCCTTTCTGCAGCTTCCCTGCCGGCCCTTTTATTATTTACTCCTCACGCAGGGGTGAGCAGGAAGGAAAAAGCTGAAGTGAGCTGAGCCTTCCTGTTCTCATAAAGAATCATAAGGATTTAGAAGTATTTTACTTAGAAACAGTAACAGTTGACATTCAGAAACTGTGTAAAATGAGGAGATTCCTCCCCTAAGTCCCCACCGGTGGTGACTGCTGTCACTATGTGCCCTTCTGGGCGTTTGTGTGCGCACATCCTTGCAACGAGCGACGCACACTGAGATCGCACGGCACTTTGGTTTTCCCCTCACTGGTCTGCTTTGGACCTTTCCACACTCAGACGAGGTCTTCCTCCATAAGGTGGCTGCTGCCTAATGACGTAACTGTCATCTGTTTATGGATGTGTACGAGTTTTCCTAATTTCCGCTGTTACAGCAGTGCTAGGTGGGCGTCCTTGCACTGAGCAAGTTTAGGGACTGCGCTGTTTTAACTGCGAGGACTCTGGCTGAGTTGGAATGCCGCGTCTTCTTAGTTCTTTCTCCAGCACAGCAGCCTGTAGATGGGGCCGCTTCCGCTAACGCTAACGGAGAATGCCCATCAGTCTGCCACCGGACAGTATTTAAAGGGAAAGACAGTTGTTAATGTGTTCCAGCAGCACCCGAAGATGTAAAATGGCACGTGAGCCCCTTTCCCCACCTCCTCCCGGCTCCCTCCCTTGTCCCCAGCCTGCATAGTGTCCCAGTTCAGGAACAAGCCCTCACTTAACTTAAGCACTTCCCTGCTTAAGGACGCTGTCGTGTTTCTGGCATCTTGCTGTTGTAGTCTTGTTGCAGTGAACCTCTTTGTAAACTCTTGAGAATCTCTGTAGAGTAAGTTTCTAGCTGTGGAACTTATGAATTTAAAAGTTTAATCACTGTTGGCAAATCCAGGAAGAGTGCACCAATTCGGGCTTCCCATGCCCCTGCCATCACCGTTAGACTGTTAAACCTGGGCAGATCTCCTCAGGCAGAAATGATGTGTTGTGTTAATCTGTGTCTTTTATTACATGAGGCGGAGCATCTGTTCATAAGCAACTTTATATGTCATTTGTGGTTTTTCCTTGTAAGCTGCTCCTGCCTCTTTCTGTGAGTTCTTTGTACAGTAAGGAAAGTATGCCTTCGTCTGTCAAGCGTATTGAAATATTTCCCCCAGTTGTTGCTTTTCTTTGGACTTTGTCCCTGGTTGTTAGTGTTTGTTTTTGTTTTAGTTTTCTGGGGGCTTTGGGTCATTCAGAAGCGGATCCTTTTGTGTAGGCAAGTTTATTAAGCTTTTATGGCCTCTGAGTTCTGGTCCTAGGATAAAGGCCTTCTCACGCTAGTAAAATGGCAGAAATGGATCCCTTTTTCCGAGGACCTTTGTGGGTTGTTTTTACTTTAAATCCTGTGATGCTCCTGGAATATATTTGATGTAAGGAGTGAGGGGCAGCCCTCCCCGCTGCTGTTACGGAAGGTGGTTGATGTCCCTGCGTGAGTCACCATCTCTGTCACCCCGCGTCCCGTGCTTTCTGATCTGCTCTTGCACGTTCTGTTCTTCCCTGGCACTGCACGTGTCATCATCTTCCAAGGCTGGTCTCTCTCTTGCCTCCCTCTTGGCTGTGTCTCTCTGCGGCTCGCTCACCTTGCCCGTCCTTTTTCCTGGCAGCCCGTCTGGGATGCGGGGTGCTTTTGGTTACCCAGCATCTAGGCTTTTACATGCTCCTGTGGCTCCGTGCCCGGCAAGGCCACTCATGGTCCAGGCCTTCTAGCCTCTTTTTGATTAGTCTCTCCGCCTTCACCCTCCTCTCTCTCATTCGTCCTGTGTGTGTGACCAAGGTCATTTTGCTCTGATTGCAAATCCCTGGGGCTCCCTGTTCTGCCCTGGTGGCTCTTCCAGCCTTCAGCCCTCCACTCGTCTTCCAAGGCCGACTGGCCTATGCACTGAGGCCTGGAGCCCCGAAGCGAGTCATTCTGGCGCAGCAGTTGTCGCCTGGCTCGTGCACCCCCACCCTCCATAGGGGGCCTTCCAGCCTCCCACCCTGCCTTTGCCCAGGAAAATGCGACCTCCTCCCGCCCCTGACTCCTGCCACCTCCTGGCAGGGGATGCCCTGCCCAGTGTCAGAGAGGAGCTCTTGGGCCCTCAGCACTTCAGTCCCTGTTGGTGTCTTTCCTGTAGTTGAATGAATGGCTAAAACTACACGTTTGTGTCATTGTTAAAGACTAAGGAAAGGGAAAAGAAAAGTCTTATTTTTATGCCTGTAAGAAATGACCCCAGCTCCTTGAGGCCTTCCCTGGTATGTTCAGAAGCTGCATTAGAGAAAGACGTGCCTTATAGTCAAGGAGGAATGAAGTGAGGCCTTTTGGATCGGGGGAAGTTACCATGTTTTTCCCCTTCAAACTTGCCACATCTAATCCGCATGGGGAACCAAGTGTCCCAGCCCAGGAGCCCTGAATCGTGGTTGTCAGGCTCTCAAAGGTACAATATGCTGTCACTGTGTACTTTTTGCGGTTTGCATGGAAACGCCCAGCGTCTTTGACTCAGTGGGGCAGTTCACGTGGCGGCTCCTGGTCTGTCACCCCACGTGGGGCTGGGCCACGGCCTGCCAGCAAGACCCAGAGCCGCAGGCCCTCTGTGGTGGCTGGGGCTGACCCGCTTCTTCGCCCGCCAGGGCCTGTCCATCGCCCAGCCCTCCACGCCCGCAGAGCCCGGGAGTGACCCAGGGTGCTGCAGCTTGCCTGTGGCCTCTGCCATTCCCTGTCTTCCCCTTTGGCCAAATCCTGGTGAAAGGCTGTGCCCAGATGGGGACTGTTGACGAACTGTTGGGAGGAACTCTTCCTGGGCAGCTCACAGACCTGTTTACTACTCTGCCACTGCCCTCCGCCTGCCTGCCTGGTTCCCAGGCGCCTGCCCAAGGCAGCTGGGAACCAAGGAGGCAGCTGCCCGGCAGCAGCAGGGGTGCCCATGCTGGGTCCTGGGGATAGGGGGCACTGCGCCTGGAGAGGCCTGAGGGGCTGGGGTGGTTCCGTCATCCTGGCCCGGAAGTGGGGGGTTGCCCGCTGCCCCATCCCCCTGGGGACAGCCTGAAAAACGGACATGGTCGCCCCTCAGCTCAGCTTCCCTCAGGGCAGCCTTCTCACGTGGCTCCTCCTTTATTACCTGAAGACTGTCTCCTTTACCGCAAGCTCCCCAGGTAGAGGGCGGGCAGCTCCTGAGATGTGGGTTTTCAGAAACGGGCATCTTCAACATGGCTCACTTTTACTTTCAGAATTACGTCTTCTTTTGGGCCAGCTTATGTTTGCTTCCAGAGCTGGATTGTCATAACTTCTCCCACATTTTTATCTCACGTGTTTTTGCTTGTTTTTACCGTGACCTTTCAGACTTAAGTGCTGTGAATCAGTTTTCTTAAAACTATATTTTAATTTCAGAAGTCCAGGTGGTGTCTGTTCAGAGTTTTAGATCTGAGCTGAGACATGAAAGAATTAGGAGACGGCTCCTTGGAGCTGGGCTGAGGTGCACCACGGACGGTCTGCCTCACTCTGGGGAGGGCTGCAAATGACAGCAAGAACTGTTGGCCGGCCGTTTGTTCCCAGAGTAAACAATTGTTTCTACAAATCTTGCCTGAGTTTGAGCTGTTGATAAATAGTGAGCAGGCCCTGGTGCGTCTTGCTTGCCAAGAATGAGCCGTAACCAGCAGATCACCAGGAGAGATGGATATTCTGTCTGCGTAAGCGGAGAAATGATTAGTAATAAACATGAATTAGCACCATCTGGGTTGAAGTTTCCCATAAGCAATGAACATTTATTAGAAGAAATAAGTAGTCATTGACAGTTTTTGCCTCTATTCTCTCAATGGGTGATTTTTAAAACCGCCTGTGAATCGGCTTTTAGATTTTAGTCTCAGCTGCCTGTTTCAAAAGCTCATCCATCCATTTACTAACTTTTAAAAAATGGGTGGGAGCAACCGGCAGGCTGTTTCTTTGACCGAAGGTGAGCGTTTTGTTCTTGCTGTTTCTGACTTAGTAGTGACAGGGACCATGGGTCTCTGGGCAGGTGATAACAGCTGTGACACGGAGGGTATGATCCTGCCTTTAGAATGAGCCTGACCCGAGGCGAGTGGCCTGCATGGCTGTGGGGGGGGGACGGCGCCTGCCCGCTGAGAGTCACCCGGTGCTTGTTACTAATTGAGCGTTTGTGAGCAGGTCTGTGGGAGTGGGACTTCATGTGAATGGGCTCAAGCATCAGAACATCAGCTAAAATTCTCTCTTGCTAGTTGGGAAAGCCTCCTGATTGGCCTGGGGTGTCTCAAGTTAGAAGAAATGTGGTATTTCAGCCAGTTTCATTTGCCATTTGTCACCTGATTTTGGTAATGGTTTTTTTCATTAATTAGCAGACTCTTACTATCTTATTTGCCAAGTGCTCATTCTTTCAGCAAATGCTGCTTCAGCGCCCGCAGTGCTGGGGCCCGGGTTGGGGCTGTGGCTCTGGAGGAAGGCTGAGCGTCCACCATGCGGGTGCAGAGAGGGGCTGTGGCGACCCTGCTGGGGGTCGCGTGCTGAGCCGCTGTCACACACTGGTGCTGGGCCGCGGGCACAGCCGAGCGGGGGACACAGCCGGCAGGCCCCACAGCTGAGCGGGGGACACAGCCGACAGGTCCCGATACTGTTGGGGCAGCACGCTCGGGGGTGCGAGGAGGGCGCGGTCTGGGCTGCGGATGCTAACCACTGCCCTCTGCCCCTGCAGCATGGACAAGGACAGCCCTGACATCCACCAGGACCTGAATGCCCTCAAAACCAAGTTCCAGGAGATGCGCAAGGTCATCAGCGCCATGCCTGGCACCCATCTGAGCCCCGAGCAGCAGCAGCAGCAGCTGCTCAGCCTCCGGGAGCAAGTCCGCACCAAGAGCGAGCTCCTGCAGAAGTACAAGAGCCTCTGCATGTTCGAGATCCCCAAGGAGTAGAGGCGGGCCGACGGGCGGGCCGGGGCCTTCCCACCCCGCCCCCCCGTGTGGGCGGGGACTGCCGGGCTGCGGCTCAGCTGGACGGCGCTGCTGGCTTCCTTGTGGC